GTGTTGTGGGTCGGGGGTTCACAGGATATCACATGAATTCACATGTTTTGGTTTTTCTTTCAGAGGACATCACATGAATTCACGTGTTGTGCTGTGCTCCTGGATAGTCTGCCTGGACAGGCATTTTTTTTGTTTTTCTGTGTGTGTGTACACATATTATATTCTGCCTGGATAGGCAGGTCCATGTGTCTAAATTGCCTGGATAGGCAGCTGCTTTGGTGCCTTTTGTGGGGGGGGGGTTCGAGGTTTAGGTCTCGGACAGAGGGGCAAGAGTGGCAAGAGCTTAGGGTTTAGGCAGGGTTTGGGGTTTAGGGGTTAGGCTATAGGGTTCAGGGTTTAGGGTCTTGTTTGGTTGCCGAGGGTTTAGGCTGTCGGGTTTGGGGTTGCGAGGATCCGTGGCTATCCAGGCAACAATTTTCCATGCACACACACTCACATGCCTATCCAGGCAATCACAGTGCGAGGATCCGTGCCTATCCAGGCAACACACAACATGCCTATCCAGGCAATCAAAATGCGAGGATCCGTGCCTATCCAGGCAACACAATTGTGCATGCACAACACACACACACACACACAACATGCCTATGCAGGCAATCAAATTTCCGTGCCTATCCAGGCAACACAAAAGTGCATGCACAGCTTGCCTATCCAGGCACTTAGATAACAAGACAGCATGGGGTTTGGGGTTGCGAGAATCCGCGTGCAGGGTTCAGGGTCAAGGGTTAAGGGTCAAGGGTTTAGGGTTGAGGGATTAGGGTTAAGGGTTCACGGTTAAGGGTTCAGGGACTAGGGTTCAGGGTCTAGGGTTAAGGGTTAAGGGTTTAGGTTTCAGGGTTTAGGGATTAAAGTCAAGGGTTAAGGTTAAGGGTTCAGGGTAGGGTTCAGGGTCTAGGGTTAAGGGTTAAGGGTTTAGGGTTCATGGTTTAGGGATTAGGGTCAAGGGTTAAGGGTTAAGGGTTTAGGGTTCAGGGTTAAGGGTTCAGGGTTTAGGGATTAGGGTCAAGGGTTAAGGGTTAAGGGTTTAGGGTTCAGGGTTTAGGGTTTAGGGTTCAGGGTTTAGGGATTAGGGTGAAGGGTTAAGGTTAAGGGTTCAGGGTTTAGTTCGATTTAGGGGTGCACAAAACCGAAAGCACCCAAAACTCAAAACCCCTTGCCTATCCAGGCATGCATATGCATCAAACAAGCCAGCTATGCAAAACTTGCCTATCCAGGCATGCATATCCATCAAACAATCCAGCTGTGCAATACTTGCCTATCCAGGCACCATGCAAACTACACTTGTTGCCTGTTGGGTCTAGGAGTTTCAGGGTTTCGGGCAGGAGTTGAGGATCGGCGTGCAGGGTTAGGGGGTGTTCAGGGGTTTGTTTCAGGGTTTCGGGTTGTTTTAAGGGGTCGGGAGGATTATAAGTAGTGGTGGTTTTCGGGAATAGAAATAAATGGTACCCTGTCTACCCAAAGCCACACGTAACAATCAATATATGGTGGGAAAACCATACAAATAATTCTCAACATAATCGCTATGAAAAATCGCATCCCAAACCATGAACTGTATTTTCGAATCCACAAAACCCCAACCCCATGAAACAATTGCCTATCCAGGCATACAAACATGCAGAAACGTGCCTATCCAGGCATGCAATCGTGCCTATCCAGGCAAGCAAAAAACCCCACAACCCATGCAAGCACTCTTTTTGCTGCGAACTCGTACTCCTTGCCATGCGGCGTCCCTCCCACGACTGTGGGGGTTGCAAAAGTGGCATCTCTACGAGGCTGGGCACTCGGCACCTCCAAAACCTCTCACACTATAACTCCTCAACATGTGTATGCCTCTTGTCTACTGTCTAAGATCTTTCATGCTCTACATGCCCTCCTGCCTCCAGTATAATCTACATGCCATTATGGCCTGCAAAATCCCACTCGTCCTTGAGCCTCCTCCAAAGGCTTTTCACCTTTTTGAGGCCACGAAATCCTCCACTGCATTCTTTCCTCATGCAACCCTCACAAGAATTATTCTCACGGATTGGGGAGTGGTGGTTCACGAAACTATAGTACTCACAGTGCTTACAGTACTTAAAGTACTTCTTCCCATTCACATCAAAGAATGCAGTTGTGGCCTCTCCATCATAGTCCTCCAGGTCGGTCGTCACTGGTGCGTCCTGCAGGTTTTAGGGGGGGCCAGGGTTATGGTCATTTTAGGAGAAATAACTTACAGGGTTGGGGGTTTATTTGGGGAGTTCAAAAAGATTTACACTATCACCATACTTCACAGCCTACATTCAACAAAACCAAATAGAATCAACAGCTTTGCCACGAACCTCCAGGGCACTGGAGCTGGCGTCTCCGGGGCATGCTCCTCCTCCACCTGCTGGCCCTCCCACTGTGCCGAGCTCCCTGTGCTAGCCTGGTCCCATCCTGTCCAGTCCCAGTGGCCCCATCCTCCACTCCACCAGTCTGGGTCATCATATCCACCACCGCCCTTGCCACCGCCGCCCTTGCCACCATCGCCCTTGCCACCATCGCCCTTGCCACCATCGCCACCACCACTCGTGTCCATGGTCTCCTCGATGGCATGCTTGTCCATCTCGTCGGTGAGCTCCTGGTCCTCGCTGGCCACACTCTCGACGACCCTCATCATGAACTGCTCGTAGGTCGACAAGCCAGACTGCTGGAAGCATCTCCTCAGATAGCTCCTATCTGACTCCTCACTGCCCGGCCTCACCCCAGTCAGCTGCTGAGCATGCTCACGGATCACCTCGGCGAAGATGCGGTAGGGCACATCCGGTGCCTTCTCCATCCACACTGCCCTTACCTGGTTCCTCCAGGCTCTCGTCAAGGCCCCTCCACTCTCTCCCATGAGGGAATTCGACCCGGCCTCTTTTCCTCCACCCTTTCCACCTCCACTTCCACTGCTGCTCGCCGGGCTTCCGAGGCCACCAGGTTGCACAGGCATTCCAGACTTACTGGAGCATCCCTGCACCGTTTGCTGGGCCATGGCTGGACTTCCTATATCCAAGCCTTCAGGACTTCAGGAGGATCTCGAGCCAGAGACTCTCATAGAAAAGAAACTTCACACCTATCCCTCCAGATCACTTCACCAACAGTCCTGCTCTCAGCACGTGTCTTTCCAGACACCCTGCAGCACCCCGTGTCTATCCAGACATCACTACATACCAGATCAGCAACAATCCTGACCGCTCTTCCGTGTCTGTCCAGACACACTGCAGCACCACCTGTCTATCCAGACATCACTACAAGTATCAGCACTGCAACACAACATGACATGTTCAAAAAACCCATCTAGACATGAGTATACAAGCGCTGCACGAAAACATGTCTTTCCAGACATCAAGACAGCACCTACCTCCAAGTGTCTTTCCTGACATCACTTTATAACACCACTACCGAACAACATGCCTTCACTGACATGACTAAACTCCAGGCAGCACTCACAGATCAGAAATGCCAGAACAGCCTTAAAGCAGCACAGCATCAACATACAGCTACGCTTGCCTGTCCAGGCAGCAAAGCGGCACGAAGGCATACTATACTGCAACAACACTTGCCTCTCCAGGCAGCACAGACAAATCACGAAGCTCAGCTGGGAGGACACGTGCCTTTCCAGGCAGCGTTTTTTTCTTTAAACAGCAAACAGCGATCACGAAGCAAAGCTGCAAAAAGAAGCCTATATACTTTCCAGAAACACAGCTGCAGCGACACTTGCCTTTCCAGGCAGCAGACTTACATCATCACCCAAACTTGCCTTTCCAGGCAGCACCGAGCGGCATGCAGGCACACTGCTGTACTACAAGACTTGCCTGTCCAGGCAGAAAGTTTAAAACGAATGACCACAAAACCTTACCTAGTAGAAAACTTGCCTTGCCAGCCAACATTAATAGCTCCTTCCCAAAATGTTCTGCTCGTTTTTTCTCAGCGGCTCTAGGTTTCGATTCTCTGCTAGCAACCTTTGTATAATCTACAGCAAAACCAGCTTCATGCTTCGATCACAAAATTTAAGCATGTCCTACAACCTCAGAGATCAAACAATCCCTTTGGGATTCAGAGCAATCACAGCTGCTTTTTGAGCTGCAAGACTTCGGTCAGAGATGTGCCTGTCTTCAGCTTCTCCATGAGCTTCTCGGCCTGGTTCTTGTTCACAGCTGCACTGAACTTGCTGATCTGGAAAAGCTGTCTCCCACCAGTCACTCTCACTGCACATCGCCCCGTATCGTGGTAGATCATCAGCTTCAGATCGTCATCCTTGTAGTACTCTTTCTGCAGCGGCGGAGCTGCCTTGCCAGCGGGCTTCTTGCTCGAGGCCTTCATAGGGGACTTGGAAGCCTTCATCGGAGACTTCTTGGACTTCTTCTTCATGGCCTTCTCCTTCTTCTTGCCTTTCTCCTTTTTCAAGGCGTCCTTGATGGTCTTCTTCCTCGCTGGAATCGGGGAGGGTACCGAGGCCTCCTCATCAGACCCCAAGGACAATGACCCCAAGAGCTTCCGAGGATCTTCAGGATCTTCCGAGTCCTGAGTGCATGGGATCTCCAACTCCAAAGCTGCCAGTGTGTCCACACTGGCAGCATCCAAGTCCCGGGTCGGCTTCTTCTGCTTCTTCGGGGGTGTGCTAGGCTCAGCCTTCTTCTTCTGCTGCTTCGTGGGTGCCTTCTTCAGGGAATCCTTTAGGGGCGTCTCAGACTTCTTCTTCTTCTTCAGGGGGGTCTCGTCCTTGTTGCCCTGGGTATCATCCTGAGGCATCGCACTTTCTTAAAGCAGACACGAGCATGAAAACCGACACAAATAAAATGAGCAGAAAATCACAACACATGTCTCTAAATATCCCATTCAAAAGTCCTCCCCTAGCTGCATCACCATGTCCCGGAGTTGCTGGAGTTTCTGGACCTGGTACTCTGACAATGCAGAGCAAGCCTCTTTGAACTTTCCCTCATCCCGTAGCCTCCGAGCGTGGGTGCACATCGTCATAGTGCTCTCCGACAGCTTTGCAGCTGCCGATCCCTGCTGGTTTACCGGAAAGACCTGCCTCACAGCAGGATACACAGCCACCAGCTTGGTGAAAACTGACTTCAAATTGGCATAGCGAAACATCAAGGCTGGTTGTACCTTGGCCAGGGCTTCCATGAACTTGAAGTTGTGCACCAAATCTCCACCCAATATGGCCTGCGATTTGGCAGCAGTGTGATAGCCATGAAAGTGGAACCCACCCTGCGACTGGGCCAGATCTGCCAGCACGTCATGCAAGTGTTCCATGCAGGAATCCGGCACTTTTTCCCTTCTCGCTCCACCCTTTCTCTTTGGGGTCTCCTTCTGCTCCTTGGGGGCCATAGCTCTGGGCCCTAGGCTGTCTCCTACGAGCCTACAACTTGCTAGCAAAAGTCTTGAGATTAATGGAGGCGGCAAACCCAAGAATTAAGTCTTGCAGTTCGGTCATGTCTATCCAGACATCCAACCATGACACAGTCATTCAACAATGCAAGCAGGCATGTCTCTCCAGACATCAAGAAGCCACAACAAATCCAATTAAGTTTTCCCGAAAATCCATGTCTATCCAGACAGGCCTTATGGAGTGATATCCATGAGTTGTGGAACCCTCCTCATGTCTATCCAGACATCCAACCATGACACAGCCAAAGAAAACATATATTAGGTCTGTCCAGACCACGACACTTGTTAACACTCAAGCATGCAAACATGTCTCTCCAGACATCATTATATGTTCCACACACTTTATACCACACACTTTATACTATAAATAAATGAATAAATATATATATATATATATATATGTGTGTGTGTGTGTGTGCATATACATATATAAACTCGAGAATATATAAACCGATTTGTGCATTCGTAAATTCAAGCGAGGATCCTCTATAAAATCAAGCGAGGATCCTCCTCAAAATCAAGCGAGGATCCTCCATAAAATCAAGCGAGGATCCTCCCTAGAATCAATCGAGGAATCAAGCGAAGAGCCTCCATAAAATCAACCGAAGAATCAATCGCAGAATCAATCGAGGAATCAAGCGAAGAGCAAATATCCAAAAACAGTCTCGATTGAAATTGAGTCCGAAAAGTCCCGTTTCAAGCGCCGATTGAAACGACATAAATTTCAATCGATAGATTGATTTTTTTCAAGCGTGGAGCCATTGGGGAACCTGGGCTGGCGCTGTCACAAAGTCGACCCTGTTACCTGAAGCATCAAGAAGGCCTGCATCACGTGGGACGACCTCACCCCCGGCTGCTGTATTGACTCGGTCTATGAGACCGTGTCGAGACAACCCGGCCTCAACTAGGACAGTGAACACCTGCAAACCAAGGGGGCGCAGATCGGGTGGAAGAGCAGTCTGGTCACGGCCGGCCGAGGTAGGCGTCAGAGTCAACTGTGGTAGCGGGTGGCCTGGTAGTGGCCGCTGAATAATCTGGACAGAGCGGGTGCGCCAGCCATCACTAGCCACTGCATCGGTGACATATTCTATGAGCGCCCAGCCCCGCCCTGCACGCCGGGCACGCACATGAGCTCTCGTATCAAAAATTGCATAGCAGAGTCTGCCCAGTTCGTCAGGAACTGGGGCACTGGTATACGCAGCAAGGGCGGACAGCTCGGCATAAGGAAGCGGCCCCGTGAGCTCAGCAGGGTATAAGGAAATGCGCCCTGCCAGAGTGATCTGGAAGTCAGTGGGTCTTGGTGGAGACTTGGCAGCCGGGACCTGGGTCGGCGATCGCATGCATCCTACTGCTGCAGCGGTGTCAAGGCTCGACAGGGAACCGACCTTGCAACACCGAGAAGGGGGAGGGTCAACCTCCGGCCAGTAGTGACAAAGAGTGGGCAGGGAGGCAAATGCGACAGTGCCAAGGTTCGACAGGGAACCGACCTTGAAGCACCGGTGTGCGGGGAGAAGAGCCTGCTTATGAGTAGCCTGACTGCCTGCACGGAAAACCTCTGTACAGTCTGTACAGCCCGTCTCACCAATCACTCCTGCTGTAGAATCTGGAGCACGGCTCGAAACATCGGCCGACGTGACCATCGGCACACCTCTTGCTGCATCAGGTCCGCCGCTGCCCGAACCCATGTGGCAGCTGCCGTCCCGGAAAGCAAAAGAGAGCGCCCAATGGTCACATCGGCAACCCGTTGCGCCGAAACTCATACTGAAGTGGGGCTCCAGCCCACGCTCGTCATACGCTGAACTCGCCGCCATCTTGTTGTACTCTTTGGCGAGCTGGTTATAAGTGGAGGCCTTCTGGTCCTCCCCAAAATTGACTTGCATGGGTAGCACATGCCTGCTGGTTCGAAGACAGCCGGGAAGATAGCCGCCTCCTTGGCTGCGGCGCTGGGAGTTGGTGTCCTGACATCCCACATCAGGACACCTGCCGTCAGCGCAAACACTGTAGGCCTCCAGTTGGTAACCTTGGTCATCAACATGTGGCGGGAGCCATCTGTATGGCTCTGCTTCTGCTTCGCAATCCTCCATCCTGGGGTCCCAGATGGAATCGAAAAAGGAGGACGGCATGTCCCCCCTGGCCTCAAATTCAAGCTGCAAAGCCAGAAGTTGCGCAAAACATGGGCAGACGTAGGCTGCATCGGTGGTGACAGAATGAGCTGCGCTGAGACTGTCGCTTGTCGGCTCCTGCACACTCGAGTAGCTGCTGCAGGAGCCTATTGAGGGCCCGTCCCCTTGGGAGCTGCTTCTGTCTTGACCTCCGCCTGCTTCGGAGGAACAACAGCGGGCGGCGGATTGACAGAGCCAAGCTCTGGCGAGGAGTCCACAGACTCTGTGGCCCCTCCACTTCGCCTCCTTGGCGTTCTGGAGCCGTCTCGGACACGGACGAGCTGCGGCTGTTTGTGCAGCATCGACAGTGTCTCTCTGAACCGCGCCGTCGCCTCCTCCCTGGCCTTCCGCTGGTCCGCCTCGTCCTCGATGCTCTGGTTGATCATTTCCTCCTCCGCGTCCATGTCGGCATCCCCTTGAAGGGGCCGCTCGCCGCTGGCCTGTAGCGGATCCTGTAGAGGCCGCCAGCTGGGACGTGGTTTCCGCGAGTTGGGCCTGCCATGCTTGCAGGGCTGCCTCTCGTGTCTCGATGCGGGCCTCCCTCTCGCTCATCTGGTCCTGTATGAGCTTTGACAGCTTGACCATGTAGTCCGTCCAAGCCCGCTCGAAAACCTGCGCCTCTTGCTCCAGCTTGGCTATCTCCCTGCGGGCCTGGGTTTGCCGGGCCACGAGCTGGTGCAGCTGCTTGCCATGGAGCCTGTGCTTCTCCGCCTGGTACTGTGAGACCATGCTTGCCACAGGCCCTGGTAGTTCCGCGCCGCCACCACCATGCTGCTCCATCAGTCGTCGATCTTCTGTGGGCGCTGCAGGTCCCGCCTCGGAACCCTTGGGCAGCGCCGGCTTGGCCAGCTTTGGCGGGGCCGGAAGCTGAGTCACGTCCGGCACGTGTTGGCCGGATCCCGTAGCCTTGCCCTTGGTGGACCCTGCCTCCGGTCCTTGCTTGCCTCTGCCCTTGCCTCTGCGGCGCGGGGAGGCCTCGCTGCGCCGTCTGGGGGAGCTCCAACGCTGCTCCTTCCCAGCCCACGGCACCTGTGCTGGCCACCGCGAGTAGGTGGCATTCTGCCCAGTGAGCTCCACAGCCACCGCAAAACTCTTGTGTGCCGCGGTTCTGCCGAGAGCACTTGCAATGCCACGGCGGATTCTTGCTGGCAGGCTGCATCGCGCTGTGGTGGTTGCGCAGGAGTGCCTGCGCCCTGCTCAAAACTCCAGGCTCCACAGAGATCCAGCCGCTGCTCGCCACCCGTGCGATAGTGCGAGCTCTTGTCCGGCTCCTTCTTGCACGACGGTGCCACGATGGCTCGCCCGTCTTGTATAGTGCGGCCGGAAAACGCCCTCCGGGTGGTCCAGAAAATGGAGACGACGAGGAGGAACTTCAAGCCCATAGACCAAGCTTGCACCTTGATCCAGGGACCGCACCTCGCGAAGCGTACAGTGCGGTATTGCAGACTCCAGTCACAGCGAGGTGAGGAGCAGCTTGAAGGTGGAACCAAAGAGCCAATTGAACGGCAGCCAATGGTCCAAACCAAAAAGTGGCAGAAAAGAAGGCCTACCCAAAACCAGAAAGGACAGGAGGACGTCGGTCAATCAAGTGACAGCGAAGTCCTGGAGCCTCCAGGTAAGGGCCCTTCGGTTGTAGATCGTGGGCTCCTAGGAGCCGCACTAGGGTACGTCGGCCGGGGCGATCCTAAAGGAAAACTGACCCCTGAGCCGAGACGCCTGGGTTAGGGGCCCTTAACAATTAGAATAGGGCTTTGAGGTATACTACACTATACTTAAAATAAGGCACCCCCAAATAGTATAGGTAATTAATGAAAGATTGAGGCCCCCAGTATTAAGGGCCTTCGTAGAAACAAGGCTCGTTTAAACGGGTTCCTTGAAGAACCGGTACGGTTTACTGTAGGGAGTGATTCTGGAGGCCTTACTAATTCCACCAGGGTTGAACGGGGCGTTGGAGGCATGTTAATGTAGGGGCCTTAATAACTAGAATAGGGTTTTGGGGGTGCCCTTAGAGGGTTCCTCAAAGGGTTCTATAAGGGCTACCATAAGTGATGATGTGGAGCAGTGTGCATG